CGCGTTAGTGTTTGGAAAATTACCTGCCAGAGCGAAGCAATATATTCAGAGMCGAAAAAGGCTCACACACACATCMGCTTGGCATGCATATGTGGCATGGACCATGTGCGCCACACCAATGTGCACTTGTGTGTTTACATCTGGGAGCACACATTGACGCAAATATTTGCACAAGTGCGAAAATTTCATTACAACTTATACTTTTTATTTAAATTAAATTTGGTATTTTAGTGCTTGGCTGACTGGCTGTTTYGCAGATAACTGGCGTATGTTTTCTCATGGATGGATATACGTATATGGGATGCTCGGATTGGCCAACAAGCTGGCGCATTGTATTTGGTTGATTGTATTGTCTGCTCCGACCTAAAAACCTTTAGATTTTGTGCTGCTGGAGTTCCTATTTGAAGTGCTCAGCTCTGGCTGAAGGCAGGTGTTGTTCGGTGCGGCAGAACCAAARAGGCAGATGCGCACTTTTCGCTGGCTAGAAAATATCCCGCGTAGATTTCACACGCCTTTAATCAGTTTCCAGATGCTTAAGGGCGGCTAATATATATACATACTCTCCGAAGTTTGACATATGTCTCCTTAAATTAATAAATTATTGTAAAATCTTGATTTTTTTCGCGACTAGAAAATTAGACCTTTTTATTACAGATATGGAAAGTTTCTCACTGATATCTAGACCAGTCCTAAAAAGGGAATAAAATAATAAGTAGTGGATTGAAGGTTTGGAAAAATATGAGAATATAACGACAGTTAAAGGAAAACCATGTGGTTTGAACGCTACTAAGATCGGAAAGTGGAAGATCGGAGGTTACTGAGTTTTTAAGACAAAAGGAAAAAAAACCAAAACAAAAAAACGGGTTATTCCGATTTCTGTAATAATTAAGTAGCAAACTTGTAGGTTACAAAAAGGTATACAACTTTTGTGTTAACATTTTTRTAATATAACTTCATAATGTCCATATGTGAAAAATTCAAATAATCGAGTTTCAGCTTTTTTACTACTATCTTTAACAAAAACAAAAATCCATCTTGAAATTAGGTGTAACTTTATTTTTTTTAGACCAAGTACAGTGTATTTTTTTTTATAAAAATTCAAATAAAATTTTCATTGAAATTTTTGTATTTTGATGGTGCTTGTTTTCTTAGAAAATACAAGACAAGTCCCTACGCTTTTATTTGTATATTCAAGGTCTTTTTGATTTTATTTATTTAGTTATTTAATTCCATGAACATTTTTATTTTAATTAGAATTCTAAAATAATAAATTACAATAGATAACTTAGCTAAAAAACAGAATTATGGGTGCTAATGAAYGAAGCCCTATAGTGAAAAAAATCAAGTAGACCTTGCTCCATTAGTTACATTGCAAAAAGGCAGAGAACRGACCGCCGAGTTTAAAGAGATTGAAGATGTAATAACAATAAACGAGATGTATACTTATGTATGATGGCATGAGGTCAACAAAYTTTAAGGAACGGAGGGCAAATTTGAGAAGAATCTCCTTTGAACGCGCTCAATCCTATCAATTGACGACACGAATGGAAGCATTTCGACGCAAAAGCCGAGGACAGTGGAAATAATTTAGATGTGATGCAGTTGATGTGATTAATGAAAGATAATCCATTGTCAAAGATTACCCCAATACCTTTGATGTCAGTTACGCATTTTAGGACGCAATTTGAAATATTGTAACTAGAGGGTAAGATACGACGTCCTCTCATATACCAGATTTGAGAACATTTATCTAAATTCAAAAAAAAAACTATCAATATCACATTGAAGTTTAATTACATCTTCGGAGTTTACAACGTCTATTGTGCAAATATGACTTAATCCACTCCAACAAGACAGAGTGAAACCTAAAGATACAAWTTTTTTAATTAGAATGTTACGTAAAACTTTGTCAAATGTTTTAAGGAAATCTCTGTAAACACATTCTACTTGAAATTCAGCGGAGAARGCAGATACGCAATAATCGCTAAAAMCCGCTGWATTTGACACAGTKKAGCGATCAGTGACAAACCCATGCTGATTGACGTCAATTCTTGATTTTGAAATATTAGAGAGTTTAGAAAAAGGCCTGTAATTGGAGACTAYAYCCTTTCTACCACCTTTAAAGATAGGGGTAATGAATGTAAATTTCCAGTCTGGAATAAAACTRTCAAGGCAGGCCATTTTTTATAGGTGCAGGCACAGCCCATCCAGCTCCAATTTGAAAGAAGAATATCACAAATTGACTTGATATTATCATCCTGCGCTAGACACAGTGTGCCAAAATTATGGGAAAGAAAATTATTTGCAGAGAAAATAGAAGTAGTTCCGCCCTTAACGTGTACAAAATTTGATTTTTAATTATTTATTAAATCTCATTTATTACATATATATGTATATCAGATATAACAAATATTCAAATGTTGTTTCAGTGATATTACTTTCGATTTTATATCATTTTGTCTTCTCTGGTAAACTTATGAAAAGTGATGCTACATTATTTCGCACTTTTGGTGACGTTACGAACAATATTTAGTCACTAAAACTACTTTCAGTGGGAAGACTATCGCTCGATCAGCACTKTCGCTATTTTACGAGTGTTAAAGTAAATCAATAAACATATTCCGATAGCAAAGCAGCTAATAAATTCCACACAYGCTTATATAAGAGTTCACTTATCTATTTAAGTGAGCATATCTGCGAGATTTGCATGTTTGCGGCAAAAGTGTTTGCTCAGCAAATCGTCCCAAAACTTTCACCAAAAATGACACCKTGTCGCAATGAGAATGTGCGTGTGTTTATGGAAGCGTTTAATAGTCAATAACCGCTCCTTGTTTAAGCATATTTTTGTTTTAGCAKTCCAGTGCCCATAAAATACACTCATTGACACTTACACTTTTTATATAGCTATAAAAATACACATACATATATAATATTTATACAATACATATGTAAATATAATATRCCGATATAATATACCCGATTCTGTACTTATTATATATATTTGTATATTATTATATATTTCAATATATTCATAAATTTGATTTTAACTGCAGAATTTCAAAAATTCGAAAGCAATTCCTCTCAATTTCTCCATAAAGAAAGTTATAGCACATATGTAACTGTTTGAGTCTTGCAGTTAGTTACTGAAATTATAGCAATAGATAACTGACAGTTTTATTGCACTACTTTACTCTAACTAAAAATTTAATTAACGCTAAAATATTTAATGCGAATCTACAAATTACTCGCAAATATTATTAAAACTAATTTCGTGCGCAAAGCACTTATTGCACTTACTTGTGCTATTTAATTATTTATTAGCACAACTGAGCTCTCTGCATAATTCATTTCCAACTACATGCAAATAGTTAATTTTTCATTCGAAATTCAAACAAATTATTTACTCAGCAGTGCTGTGATAGATTTTCTTTGTATAAGAAGGCACATATACACCCACATGTGTTTAGCTACGCCTACTGACTCATTTGCATACGAGAACTTATGAGTTACGARCACTTATTAAAATTCATAAATTTTTTGTCGATTTTTATTTGTATATATGTATGTAYATATGTGCATCTATGAATATAKTGCAAATCATAAGGCACAATACACATATGTACATACAAACAAACATTTTAATTTATTGTCAGGATTAACGAATAAAAGATAAATTGCATAACACTGCAACCAAACACGGAATGGAGTTCAAAACTAATAAAGACTTCATATAGTGAAACAATTAGACTAGTTCTAGAAAATGAAAGTGCATGCTACATATATTATAATATGTACATATATATATGGTATGTATGTACGTAAGTTCAATGAATATTTTAAAAGAAGAATAATTCTCTTTTCTTGTGATTTCTATTAAATTTCTATGCCAATAGTATTTGTTGTTTTCGTCCTTCTTATTTATTGCCGAAAAAACATTCTTTCTCTCTCTCTCAAGGCTGAGGGGCGGTTCGCAGCAACAATGTGGCGCTGGTGTCGCTTGCCAGCAATATTTTCAATCAAAACTTGCTTTGCTTATTTTGCGTTCGAAAACCATTTAGCCGGGAGTTTTTTCATTTATCCAATTATCTTTTTGCGTTGCCTAGTTCAATGTTCTTCTTGTTTATAAACAACAACTCACAACTTAACGGGATTTGCAGGGATTGCCACATTAATGCAAACATTTTTCGGTGTTAGTTGTAGGCTGTTTGCATACAATTTGGCCTAAATGTTTACACTTGCTGATAATTCGGTGCGCAGAATAAAAAAATTGTGTAGTGAAACGCTTTGTGTTTACTCTCATAATTGGCTTAAATGTTTGACACTTAAAGCGCTACAAATACTCTAGGTGTTTTTGCAATTTTGTTTTTTAAAGTGAACTCAGATTACGATGGTAAAAGAAAACATATCAGCACCACAGCCCAATCGTTATTGCTTGTATTTAAATAAATGAAGAATCTGTAACTACTTACATATGTATGTATATTCGAGGATTTGTTTTTTTTCAAAATTTAATTGGCAATCTAAAGCTATTATGTTTTCCACATTTCTGGCTGTTTTTTATTCCATCACAAAAGAACTTCGACGGCTTTGCGGTCAAGAATGTATCAATCCAATTTCTATTGCTCTGTTCTGATGTGAACCTTTTTCCAGTGAAGCTGCTCTGCATTGATCAAAACGAATGATAATCAGAAGGAAAAGGATCTGAGAGCGAAATTTCCAACCACTGGTTTTCAACTAGTTTTTAATCGTTCTTGCAAAATTATTGCGTCGTGTAGAGACGAAAATATGGTGTGTTTTACTGCTGTTTGGCTGTTAGATACAATTTTTATGCTCTGACAACATGTTTCAACCTAACGGTTGTTATTATCCCCTTAAAGTAATCGTGTAAGACGTAGGGTTATATATATAGGTTATATACCTTGATGTTGAAACGAGATAAAATTAATAATAATTGAAAGTTTTTCACAGAATTTGTATAAAATATTCCTGTTTTATTTTAGACGGGCGAATGGCTTCCATACTACCGCTTGCGGCTCTACTCACTGGCACTCTGTTCACTGTCGGAGTCGCTGTGCTTTTCGTTGTGGTGATTGCTGTACGCAAGAGACGATGTCAGGGAGGACGTAACCTCTGCGACGACAAAGATAAGCATTTAGGTAAAATAACKTATTYCCAAAAATTAAAAAAAAAAGAAAGAAAACTCAAGACAGATCCACGCAACTTTAATATTCAAAATGTTTTTTGTTTTTTTACTTTTCGTGTCCTTTAACGATCAACTAACGGGTTTAACATATTTCAGGTATGGATGTGACTGTAACGGCGCCCCTTGAGACGGGTGCGGGTCACCAGCGTTTGGTAGTTGCGTACACGCTCAAGCAGGGCATCGAAAAACAACCGGATATTTTGAACGCTCAAAAGAGTGCCACCGGCAGCGATACATCCTCGCCGCTGGGCAGCAGACCTGGTGGGCTATACCTCGGCGGCAGCGGTGCGGCGAGCAGTAATTGCGGTGTTSCGGGGGGTAAATCAAACTTCACCACTACAGCCAGTACAAATGCAGTGACGGATTACGTAAGTACATTCCACAAATACCAATCGCTAATATAATGAGGATTTGTTCCAAGAAACTAGATTTATACACCACACAGTAGCACAGTTTCATCAAAAACACAAAACATATTGATTCGCTGATCTTAGCGAACAAAAAAGTTGAATCAAATTGTCTATTAAACATTGCCACTAATTTCATTTTATGTTTGAACCTCTAGGATGCCTCCACCATCGGTTACAACGATCCCGCAAACTCAAGCGATCTTCTCAATAGCCCACCCTCACAGTCGAGCACGCTAAAACTGGGCACTGACCTCCGTAAAAACTATCAAAGTCCACAGCAACCACTGCTCTACGACGCATTACCGCTCAATCGACATGATATCTCACGATACGACCCGCTGGGTCTTAACTATGGCGGCAGCAATAGTACGCTCAACTCGGCGGGCAGCGCCGGCACCGCCACCAACAACATGAATAATGCACCTTCAAGTGGCGTCACACCGCAATCATTAATACAGAATAATCTCAGCAATGGGCACTACGTCAATCATCACACACTGCCTCATCCTTCTTCCGCAGCCACACACTCGAGCCTCCTTCATATGCAGCAACAACAGCAGCAGCAAMAGCCACAGCAACATCAATCAACACTGCCAGCTGATGAGCAACTATCCATCGCTGATTATCTCGCAGCGAGTAGCTTAATCGATTATAGTTTAAGTAAAGCGGCAACGGGCTTGCCACCCGGCATGTCGGTCGGCAGCGCGGTTGGCAGTGGGCACATGACGCTACCCAAAGGTCTCGGCATAGGTTCCTTACTGGGCGTCAGCGTCGGCGGCAACAGCAACGGAGCGTTGCTAACACAAAGCTCGCATCCAGCGAGCATTACACCAACAGCAACGATTACGCAGAAAACGAATGCAAATCGAAATCATATTATTACGGACACATTACCGGGTCCCGAGAGTTGTGTTTAAGTTATAGAGAATACATTATGATATACATACACATATGTAATATGTAAGACACCCATATTGTAAGACACCCCAAAATGCATACAAACACTTTGCGCTCTTGGAAATTAAGATATGTTCATATGTAGAAATAAAATGGAATGTTCGGAAGAATGCTATCAATGGCTTTGCAAAGCAAAAAAGACTGGAGCAATCTACAAATTGTTGAGAAGCTACACCCACATCCAAACCAAAGTGCATATATATCAACACAGGAGTGCACACGCAATAAAATATGTTGTAAAGTACGGTTCAATGGGTTCAATCTGTGGGCTTAAAAGCCTGCTACACTTGGGGTCCTCGGAAATAGAACAGGGTAGCTATTAGGAAAGTAGAAAGGGATAAAGGCCGGAGCTTTGTTTGCCTCAGTATTTTTTTTTTTTTTTTTTCTTTTACCAAATTTTCAACTTCCCTTTATTTTGGACGATTGTTGTCCAAAGCGATTATTGAAAGCGCAAAAACAGTCTCATTCAGATCGTCTCACAATTGCTATATTTTTCATAGTTGGTTAGATTTGGTTTGAATCTCCCATAGTACGGAGATGCTTTAATCAATGCCACAATAATCCAGAAAACACTGTCAACTACTACAAGAGCCATTAAGAACCCAAATCTCAACTTGTTGTGGCATTACATATCTAGGTTCATTACAAATTATCGACAGTTTTCGAGTGACTTTACCATTATTGATATTCTGCTATAAATAAAACACAAATTTAATTTTGTCTCGGTGCATTGACATCAGGATATAAGTACGAATGGAGTACAGTTTATTTTGGGCAACAATGGCACACTTTTGATTGTGATCTTACACTGTCGTGAAGCGTTTACGTCCGCGTAGCGTGCTTTGGGAAGTGGGCAGACAAAGTAATCGATAAGAACTAATATTCCAATAACTAATTTACCCAAAATCAAACCATTTGGGTATATTTGGCATCCTAAGAATTGTGGGTGTGCGTCTAGGCAGGGGTAGCAAAACTCGATGGGAATCGACTGAAAAGTGTGTGCAAACCAATGGGATATAAATTAGCGAAAATAAGTAGGCATAATGAGACAAAAATAGAAAATTGACAGTTGCTTGTATTGTAATTACTTTTAATTTAGTTACTAAGAGCTGTGTACATACATACATACATATAAATACATATATATATATATATACACATATATATATATAAACAAGTAATTATAGCTAATTTAGAGAATGTAATGCAAGTGTTTGAGAGAAGACCTTAAAAATAAATGTAAATACTGATCCCGGTGTTCCGGATATTGGAGTGCTGTAGTAGAGAGTAGTCTCCATAAATATGTGTAATAAAATAGATGGAAACCTAACAAAGGCTTGGAAAAGCTAAAAGTTTTACAGTTTTGAACACCTGAAACGATGCTTATCACTAAGTTTAAAATTGAYGTAATTTTTCCGTTACTTTTATTATGTAAAGTTGAAAGTTGCATGCAACAGGAGTAATACTTCCAGTTACGTAATTGAAAATGTATCGCATTGCCGAACTTCCTACAATCTCCTGCCGTAACAGTAAAACATATCAAGCACACATATACACATAAGCTCATTTACGATGTTACTGACACACATATCCAACTTAGGTGCCAGGGACTGCCTTAAATAAATATTAGCAGTTCCACTTTTGGTCCACTAAGCAACAATAAGATCTCACATATCCACACAGCGTGCATAAACAGAACAATTCGATTTTCGATTCGAAAAATTGAAAACGCTCAAATATGCAGCGTGCAAATTCAGCCAGCGCTCAGCCGAGTCCGATTGACCCGGAAATCCAAGAAAATCAGCATTTACATCTGCACACATACTTACATAYATAGTTGATTATTTTGCCTCTGCTGTGCGCCAGCAAGCAACACAACCGCAGCAATCATACCTCCATAAGTACACACACACACACACAGATACACAAAGTTGCCACCATCGCCATCTGCATAAACATATACACTGGAATGTGAATATGTGTATTTGCATATTTATATATATACATACATCTGTATATATATGTATATGCAAATATGTATTTATGTGTGCTATAGTTAAGGATTTACGAAATTGCACTGCAAAATGCGTCAAATCGTTTGTCTTTCCCCATCTGCCTCGGCGCGGGCATGCAAACAGGTAGTGTGTAGGTATGTATRAGGTGTGCTGGGTGCAGGCTCCAGTAAAATTTTATGCCAACAATAAAAGAACTTTAAAAACACATTACCATCATTCCGAAAGTTATATTGGACACGTTCAATATTTTATGTATTTCTTTCTGTTTTTGCAATACGCGCGTACTTCGGCTATAATACAATTGCATTTTTATCTTTGTTGTAATCGAAAACTTTCTAATGCGCACATTGCCAATACACCCTGCAGRGATGTTTAGCCGTTTTCAATTTCTTCATTCTCTTACAATTTATTCTCTTCTAAGCGCGACATTAAAAATTCAGAGCCTCTGCCTGCCATCATCATGTGAGCTGAGTASTTCCTTAGCTGGAAATTGATAATTGTGGGATACGATATGAGCTCTAAAGAATCTTTCGAGGTCGCCTACAAGCTCTRACACTGAGGCCCTTCGACGAAGTATTTATTTTACCTTTAACTAATACCCAAAATTTTCAACAACGGAATCCGATATAAAAATGTCAATATTCCGAAAACGGGACCACAAACTTTTAAATTTTATATAAAGTTATTACGCTGACATTAAGCAGACAAAATAACAACAACAAGCATGAAACCTCCAGCACAGTTGCGATGTAACCTGCACCTTATCTGCCGTTTGGTTGCCTTCGCTAAGGTACATCATCCACTAAATACTATCATAATATAACTGTTGTTTTAATGTGAAAATACACATTAATCCTGTGAAGCGATCGTATAGAAAATTTACATTGCTCTTCCTCAACATTTCCAGGCAATAAGTTCGCAATAAAGAACTTCACAAAAGTAATATAGCAATTACAAGAGCTCTGCTACAATAACAATATAAAAGCTCGATAGGAAGTTGTTGAGTGCAGCGCAAAAGTTTTCCACTCTCCATAAGCGAGAGCAGAGCTGCTGAGGTGTGGGGGTTGTCATGAGCAGAATATAGAAGTGCCGGAAAATGACAATATGACGACAGTGAATGCAAAACTTTTTAATATTCGTRTGCAATGATTTATTAATATATTTTTTACATACATACATACATATATGTAATAATCATATACTTCTATATGCATATTATTCCATATATAGTACATGTTGAATGCGGTGCAAGTTGCCCCATGGAAGCTATTTTGGTGAAATTCTCCAGCAGCAAATGAGTTAGCCACTCAAAATAGAGGCTTTCCGAGAAAATATAACTTTGATTGCACCGAAGCTATAATGCCCTTCACAATAGCAGAATTTTGATTAGTCAATTTGTGTGGCAGCTATATGCTATATGGTGTGATATTGACGTTTTCGAAAAATTAGCAGCATGTTTGGGAGAAAAGAGCAAAATTTCCGATCGATATCTCAAAAATTCCAGACGTATAAACATGACTATATGACTCTGCTCGTCATGCTGATCATTTACTATATATTCATCACGTCACTGACGCTTCCTTCGGAGTGTTAACCACTTCGTGGCAAACTTAATATACCTTTATTGAGGGCAGAAACAAAAAATTAAAAACCTCAAATTTTAGGAGAACTTTCATAAATCAGAATCTATTGGAGGAATTTAAACCATATTTAAATAAGTCCACATATGACGCCTCATCGCCGTTTGAAAGTCACTTCCAATTTTATCTAGCAATAGGCCATTCATGAATCAATAAACACATTTACGAATGTTGTGAGCGAACTCAAGATTTATGATCTTCCACTCATTTAAACTGAAAGCCCTGACTGAACCAAAAAAATATATCATTAAAATACTAAGATTATTTACCACATATCTACCATGTACCGTTCATATCCTTAATATACTAATATATATTTATTTATTCAATATTATTTTCCTGATAATCAATTGACTTATTTTATGAATACATAGAGTAACCGATACATTGATCATATTGAATTTTCAAAAACAGAAACAAAAAAACAAAAAAATTAAAAAAAAATTATTTCGAGCTGTACATTTCAAACTAATTGTAAATGCTAGACTACTACTATTTAAGTGTTAGCAAGAGTTTAAGGTTATGTATAAATATGTAAATGTATCATATGTAATCGTACATGCATGTAATTATAAGGGGACACGCACCCATACACAATAAAAAATAGGTAATTTACGGACCAAAGCAGTTGGCGTAGCAAATAACATTGTATTGTTAGTGTAAAAAGTTTAAGAAGCAGAGTTTTAAAGTGAGACAATGATCAATAGTACATACATACCTACAAATGTATGTATCCATTACTAACCTTATATATTCAAGTGAATACCTAGCATAGAAGATGAATAATTAGACAGTTAGACTTACTAGAAATAATTGGTGTATGTAAGAGCCGAACTTTGAAAGGAATACTACAATASAAGAACTACACTTAGGCGAATTCATATAAATACATAGACATTTGCAAAAACACAAGAATAATTTACATGAAAACACAGAGGTTAAGTAACTGTAAAAAATAGTAAAACAATAAGAGTCCTCTGTAAAAATGCTTAAATTATTTGTGATAAAGATAAAGGCGTAGATAAAATATAAATATAATTATATATATATACATACATACCATGTATAAGGCAGATTAGAGATAATGGATCATTAAGCAAATATATATACAAAACCTATTGAATTATGTATGGAACTTGCAAATCTTGAGTGCAGACCCCAGTATTCTGCTCTACTACAATGAAATGATAATGCAATGAATAGAATAATAAAGAAATTAATTCTTATTTGAAAATGGTGTTGCAACTTCGGTTACTGGTTCTGAAATGGGTTGCTTTACAGGTTTCGGTAAGTTTACCTAATAACTTTACCTAACCTAATATTTACAGAGAACCAGAGAACGTATATTTATAGCAGAGAACGTCTATCATAGAGAAGGTTCACG